AACTTCACTTTCAAAATAACCCTATCAAATACCTCCATCACCTTTGACCAAACAACTTTTGTGTCTCAAGCTATAACTTACTCTGAATAAGGAGTTGGACTTGAATGCTTTCTAACTGGCATCCTAGCTTTTAGCAATTCCCTCAATGTCTACAAGCCTAGCAGCCATGAGAATCCTTTCAACAGTTATCAAATCATTCCGTCCCTGCCCTCAATTCCTCACAACAACCTATCCCAGAATAAGGACAACCTGCCTTCTGCCTTAACCTACTTTCTCAATTACCTTCCACATCTCTCCCCAGTTTGCTCACCAAACTCTGCTTGGCACCATGGTATTTTCCAAGCATGTCACAGGACCACTGCATTTTCTGTTCTTTGTAACTGAGAAAACTAAGACATTCAAGTGGTTGTACCACACATTTCAATTAGGTATTTCTCACATGTCATCTTTTCAAGAAGCATTTTGTGAACTCTAAATAAAACAGTTTTTCCCTAATCCATGGTTCTCTATCCCACCTTGCCTTGGTTTTCTCTGCACCGCTTATTACAAACATAACATGGCTGATACATTTCTTTTAGTGTTAGTAATCAAACTCCAAAGGTAGGCTCTAAGATGGCAGGCACCCTGTGCTTACCTTCCTGTGACTTCATCTAGACTACAGTAAGCATCAGTAAACTGTGCTACATAAAATGCTCAGAGGACTGAAAATCCGAGAAATCTAAATAAATAAAACAGTGACTCACTCTGTGGGCACGCTGTGCACCTTAGAGATAACCAAAGGCTGGAAAGTGCACTGTGGAAATGTGTGCTCATTCTTCGTGGAGTATCCAAGCAAGTGGGGGGGGGGGGACCCTAAAAGGTACGTACAGACAGACAGACACGTGTGCTGGGGGCCGGGGGGAGAAGAACCGCAATGTAAACAAGGATGAGGACCCCCAAGACTAGACAGAAGTACATGAGCTAGTTATGGGGTTCTAAAACAACTGCAGGTGGAAGTAGCTCAAGGGAAATGTGAGAAAGAAGGTACACACACTAAGAGCATGCAGGAAATAACAGCCACTGTCAAGACACAGCACACACTTACATTTTTACAGAGCAAGATATACCAGGCAGCAGTCTCCAGATTCTCCACGTGCCCGCTCGCTCACTCACTCCTCACTATTGTGTGTGTGTGTGTGTGTGAAGGTGGGTTGATTTCCTAAGCACATCCGAAACTCTCATTTCCTAAGTCCCCAATCCAGCAATTAAATATAATTGTAAATAAAATACTGCAAATTATTTTGAAATGTCTCAATCAATGGTAACACTCCTTAATGTCTGTTTATTTCTAAGGGGTACTGAATACAGGGTCACACACACACAGTTGGCAAGCATTGAGCCACATTCTCAGCTCCTCAGAGCAAAGTTTGTCAAGTGAGATTATCAAGATATAATGTACAAAGATACACAAAAGTAAGCAAAGTGAATACTTAAGACTGAGCTAGCCAATAAGTCATGCTAGTAACAGGCCAACAGCTTTATATCTGTTGTTATACAGCGTCTCTGTGTGTTATTTGGGGCTGGTGCGGCACTGGAACCAGGCTGGCGGGAAAACTGCTCATAACACAGTAATATTTCTCAACAAGCAGCAGAGTTGACTGACAATCAAAGAAACGAGGAGGGCATATTGGCCCACGTAATCCTAGCAGTGGGGAGGTGGGGTTACATGGTAAGGAGTTCAAGGATAAGCTGAACTACAGGGGGCACTGTCTCAAAAAGCCAGAGAATGACTAGGAGGCACTAACAAGTCCTTCCCCCAATGCCCGCTCCCTTCCAGAACGTGAAAAGCATCTGATTCGGAAGGAAGTTGGGTTACTACAATAACTAGGCACCTCCATGTTAGAGACACCCAGAGCTAGTACAAAGAAAAGCCCTGCGATGGACAATTCTCGGTGGCATGACACACTTAGCAGATGACATTCACCAAAATGCATAAGGTGTTTCATGACATAGCAATCACACATTAATTCTTGTGTGATGACTTTTTTAAAACTACAAATGGATGATTCATTTTATTTCATGCTAGTTCAACTATCGCTATGCATAAAAGGCCACTTTGAACACAATTTTTCTCTTGGTTAAGTTTACACAAGGAACTGGACAATTATGGACAAAGTTTCAAATAGTTAATTTGCTTTGTTGAAAGTTTGATTATCTTGATATAAGCATCAAAATATACATAAAAATTAATTTTAATTAAAATAAATTCTTTAATACAATGTTTACATTATAAAAAGATATTAAGTAATTATTATGCAGTGTTAAATCAATGCATAGAACTTATATTTTAAAAGTATGTGTTTTTGTATTTTGGTTGTGAACCTAGCCTTTAACAGCTGAGCCATCTCTCCAGAAAAAAAAAAAAACAAAACCAAAAAGAAGAAGAAGAAAAGAAAAAGTATGTGTTTTTATCCTATGGTCTATAATTCTAAAGTCTCATTTCTTCAGAGTAACACCACGTAGAACAATTTAAAATCAGTTACCTATTTAATATTAACAGCAATAATCCTAAAAACCTTTAGTACGAGAGATACCAAAACTGGCTATTTCCCTATAAAATACATAGTATGCATTTTCTTAAAGTTTCATTCATTTACCTGCTACCACCTTTTCATATTCTGAACACAAACCATGTTTATGAACCAGTATGTGTATGGACAATGAGAGGGTGTGGCCATGCACATGGCACGCTCTCTCATGTGAAAGTTAAGGATAACTCTCAGAAACTGGTTCTCTCCCACCACTGTAGAACCTGGGGATTAAACTCAAGTGAGCCTAACTGACCAACAAATAATTACACAAATTATTTTTTTCTCTTGTTTTTTCAAGACAGGGTTTCTCTGTACAGCTCTGGCTATCCTGGAGCTTGCTTTGTAAGCGAGGGTGGCCTCACGCTCACAGAGGCGTGTTTCTGCCTCCCTTGGGATTAAAGGAGTGTAGCACCACCATGACCAAGCCCAATTCTACAAACGAAAGGCTGCTCCAAGGTCTAACTAGCAACAGGGTTACCCGAAAATAAAGAAACAGAGAGGCTAAAATTTTCTCAAACCCACTAATAACCTTCTTAAACCACTGCTCCTTTTCAAGATAGTATCTTTTAGTATAAAAGTAAATTACAGAAAGAATGGCTAGAAAAAAATCTAATGGGTAAACCCAAGTGTAAACTATTATACAATTTCCTTTTTGCTTCGTTAGTAAACACACATGCTCAGGATAATGGTAGCTCTGAATTGTTGGATACATAGCATTCCAATATTTTTCTGTTTATGAAACTAGTAACACAATGTTCACAAAAAGTCCTCTTTCATTGCTTTTCAAGATGATACAATTACTAAGGAGAAAGAAGAGGACTTAATTTAACAGTGTACAAAGACCTGCATTTACAAACAGTCTGCCTGTCCATGCTCCTTATATATCTATCAACACAATTCATATGAAATACATTCTTGCAAGGAATAAAAAAAGAGTGGAAGGTCAGGACACTGAAGAACAAATTACTGGGATATAAAAAATAACAAATCTCAAACTCATTTATGTAAGCAACAAAATGGCTCCATTGACAACAGAGCATCAATTTTCCTAGTTTCTCTCAGAGCAGCCAATTGAACAGTCCCACTTTATTAATGAGCGAGAAAGCTTAATAAAGTAAGCTCTGTGAGCACAATAGCTTGCTCTACAAAGTGAGTTCCAAGCCAGCCAGGACTGTTACACAGAGAAACAAGGCGGGGTGTGGAGAGAGGGGTGTCATTTGTACAACTTGTTGGCTGGTGAGCCTTACCTGAGTTTGACCCCCATGTTCTACAGTGTTGGGAGAGAACCTCATTGCCCAATAAAAAGAAAGAGAGCAACATAAAGTAAAGACTTCAGGGAAGCATGTGGACAGGAGAGAAGGAATCCACTCTCAAATTAACCCGTAATGAGTATTCAAAGATTCTCTGTCTGTTAGCTTAGATTAGTAAAGTGTAAAAAAATCAAAAAACAAACAAAAAAACCCTTGGAGCCAGGCTTTGGTGGTGCAAGCCTTTAATCCCAGCACTCCAGAGGCAGAGGCAGATGGATCTCTGTGAGCCAGAGGCCAGCCTGGTCTACAGCATGAGTTCTAGGATAGCCTCCAAAGCCACAGAGAAACCCTGTCTCAAAAAAAGGAAAAAAAAAAAATCAGTAAATCCCATTTTCAATAAGAAAACATCTTTTTACAATGCTTTACCAATGTTTCAAAGTTTTACTATGGAGCATGAACTTTTCTACAGGAGGAGGAAAAAACAAAACAAAACAAAACAAAAAAGGCCAAAGAGCATACAGGCAATTCAATTAACAAGCTCCCACAGTCTACTTTCCCACTGCAATAATAGCTTCACTTACTATGACTTAATATTTTTGCTGGTGTAGAAGAATAGGTCTCTCTACTTAGCCTTGCTTGCCGTCAAGCTCACTATTTTAAACTAGGCTGGTCTCAAACTCAGGAGATGTGCCTGCCTCTTGAGTACTGGGACTCTAAGCCTGGGCCAACGTGTCCTGCTTACTCAACCTTTTAAGGAAGGAAAAAAAAAAAAAAGAAAAAAAGAAAAGAAAACCACAACAAACAAAATTAAAAAAATAAAAAAACAAACAAAAACCCAACCATCTTTAGCACCCCACTGGTTGCTAACTTTACATTCTTCTCCTGAAACACAACAATTTAAGTGTATGACTTTTAAGAAGGAGGTTAATTAGGTTTGCTTCTCTATCACACTGCCTTCACAAAAGTCAGCGGGAATTCCCTAGTTAAGGCTTTGAGCAATCCTATTTTTTACACCATATATTATATTCAATGGGCCATTCACTATTTTCATACTTTGCAGTTAAAAAAAAAAAAAAAAAACTCACTAACACACAACAACCTAGTCTAAGTTAACTCAACAATTTCAAATCAACCTGAAAGGAGAAATGTTGAAAAAACTCGAACGGTAGAAACTACTTACTGCAGGTACCAGTAACTTCTTCACTTCTTCAACTGCTCTCTTCAGCTTGATTTCTGCTCTATTCTGAGCATCTTCCACAGTGATTAGTACATGTAAATCTTCATTTAGATGCTCCCAATTGGGCTTGCCTCTGTTTTGCTCCTCCTAAGGAAATTATACAGAGCACAGTATCATTAACATTTTTACAAAGACAGAAGGACACGTATTCTGTAACATGAATCAGGTGCCTGTTGCTTACAGCCATCTTTATATTCTACTCAGTAACATTACAAACCAAAGCCTGGCCATGGGACTCGTCAGTCAATAAATATCCGTGCTGCGATGCCTATGTACCCAGCTGAGGCCGCAAGTGAGCAAGGCAACCACAAATGGCAGTGCTGCTTACTCTGCTGCTCTACAAACTATAACGACGAACCCTGAGAAGCACGCCACTTCTCCATCTCACCTGGAAGGAAACAAAGTCTTCACCGCTGAACTACTCACTTACCATTATCACAGTAAACAAGCTGCCAATTAAGGTGATGAGTCAAACTCATTCTCCAATTTAGTGATGCTTCCATTCATTACTACAACTTTAAATAACACTGGATCTAGTCAATACTACAAAAAGTAATTTCAAAATAGGTCCCATCATGTGAAAGGCACACTGTTTGCTCGAAGTATTTCAAGTAGTAATTATTTTACCTGCTCTTCCACTGGCCTTTCCCTTTACAGTGAACTATACAGTTGAGATCTGCCGGGTGAGGAAGAGCACTCTTCCTTGGGGAATGGTCACTGCTGTTGCCCATGCCCAGTGGATAGATAGCATGCACATGTAATATAGGGAGCATGACATGAACTGAGTGGACTTCAGAAAACAAAACTACAAAAGATGACATGAACTCTGAAGACCAATGTGTGTATGAGTGTACTGGGGGAAATGGGAGGGGGCAGATTTGATACTTTACTGTACACACATACAAAATCTTCAAGTAAAATAAAAATGAAGAATAACGTCTACACTTGCATTGTTTCAAGTCCCATACATGTTTCATAGATAAGTATCTATGTCCCACCTCTATGATAACTTCTGATTGCCAAGTAAGGAATACATAGGTGCAGATGCTGAAAACCTTCTCAAACTACTTGTAAGATAGGGCAGACAGCCACATATACAAGTAGACAACTTAGGAATGTACAAAGTCTTAAGCTTGAAAAACAATTTAAGAAAGTGAGTGTAAATATGACTGGTACACAGACTTAACGCAAGTTATCAGAGGTAAACAATAAAACACTCGGCGAGACTTTGTTGTGAAGGCCATCAGTCTGTTACTGTGTCAAATGCAGTCAAAGGAGTAAACTGCTGGTATGATAAAATAGGCTTTCCTATTAATTTTCATATTCCTGAGGACAAACAATGAAGACAGAAATAAGATCTACTAAGTACAGGATTCTGTTTTATCATAAAGTCATTAACTTTGGTAGGGAAACAGTCAAGGCTAAGTGGATCTCAAGGAAAAATAGCAATAATCAAACACTGCAAACGAGTAGCCCAGAGCCTATCTGTTTCCATATTAGATCACACCACATTCCCTTTAGCATATGTTGGCAGAGCTAGGTTTTTGGTGGTTACTGCATGAAAAAGCAGTTCTATGAAAACATCAATATGGAATAAAATGGCAGCACATCAGCAGAGAAGCTAAAGAGCACCCAAGAAGACAATAACAAGCAATTAATAAATATCAATGTGGCGACTTAAAATATTTTCAGTTGAAAAGCTGGGTGGTGGTGGCGCACACCTTCAATCCCAGCACTCAGGAGGCAGAGGTAGGAGGGTCTCTGTGAGTTAAAAGTCCAGCCTGGTCTACAAGAGCTAGCTGAGGAGCTGCTAGGGCTAAACAAAGAAATCCTGTCTTGGGGGGGGGGGGGAGATATTTTTTCCAGTTCAAAATTAAAACAAAAATTCAGTTATTTGTCAATATTTAATTAATGAAGGTATGAGCTGTTCCTTTCTACCTAGGATACATAATGAAGATCTGTAAGGATAAAGAGTCAATGAATTAAGAAACTGGGAAGTGTAGAGGGCTCACTGGCCAACCCATCTATTGAAATGGACTCCAGATTCAGTGAAAGACCTATTTCAAAAAATAAACAGGTACTGAAGAGATGGCACAGTGGTTAAGGACACTGGTTGCTCTCCCAGAGGACCTGGTTTTATTCCAACCACACGGCAGCTCACAACTATTCTAACTCCAGACACATGACATCTTTCTGACTCCATTTTCTGGCCCCTGTGGACCTTGCACATGCATGGTGTACAGGCATTCAAGACAAAACATGAAATAATAAGTGATGAATGAATGAGTAAGTAAGTTAGAGAGAGAACAAGGCATGTTCACACACGTGCGCGCGCACACACGTACATGGTGGAAGTCATTCACGATTTTAAATGGGGCACGTATGAAATGTAAAGTCAGTTAAAACAAATCATAATCAACAAAAGACTTTAAAAGCTACCTATTAATACATACACTAAGGGAAGAAAAAGCAAAGAGTATAATCCAAAACATTTCAGAAAAACTAAAAATAAAACTGAAACTATAACTTGTCAGAGAAAATTAAAAAAAAAAAGCTAAAAGACTTTAAAAAAGAAAATGCTATCTGACTTGTAAGAACACAGAACAAAGTTGCAATATAATCTGCCCTTATGATCTATTGAAGGAATAAATTTCTGAGTTGTAAAATACTACAGAAAATGTGTCTTAATAAATTAATCAGCTGGAAAGCTGTTAAGAACAAAAGCCTCACCTATCCTTAATGTTTACTTCTAGATGAAAATTTTGCCTACCCAAAAAGAAATAAAGAGAAAGAAAGAGGGGAGGGAGGGAGGGAGGGAGGGAGGGAGGGAGGGAGGAAGGAAGGAAGGAAGGAAAAAAAGAAGAAAAAAAGCACCCACAAAGAGCAAGAGCTTTCACTGATGCTCGGATTGATAAAAATCATGGTTCCAGCCAGACATGGAAAGCAATGCTTCAAACTCCAGCACTCAGAAGGTTCAGAGAGAGGGTCACAAGGTCCAGACCAGCCAGGATCATATAGGACTTCAACTATAAACTATAAAATACAAAATCTCATTGAAGATGTGGTGGCAATGTCTTTTCAAAACCACAAGAAAAAAATTACTTTTAAATATAACAAAGTGATACCAAACACAGTGTAACTACCATTATTTACAAATATGTTCAAAGTTTTCATTTAATGGAGAAAGAAATACCTAAAAAACTAAAAGAAACACCAGAATTCAGCAACATATTAAAACCAGTTTACATTATTCTCCAATAAGTAAAAAGACAATCACAATTTCTAAATAATATTTTACAATGTTGATATTCTTTGTTACACATATTGTGTAGAAATAATTTTTTTGTTGCTTGCTTGCTTACTTTTTTTTTGGTTTGAGACAGGGTTTCTCTGTGCCTGGAACTCGCTCTGTAGACCAGGGTACACAGTCAGATTTACCCATCTCTCTCTGCCTCCAGAGTTCTGGGGATAAAGGTGTGCTCCACCACACCCAGATAGAAATAAATTTCAAGTAACTTAGCCACTTAGTTTCAGATAACGCTGAAATGACAATGATGACTATCATGGCAGGAAAATTTTTACTGAACACTTACTGTCTGTGTACTCCTCCATACTAAAATTACTTCAAAGAAGATGACGGGTATCAAAGAAACTCCACATGGAGTTTACTTTCTTTATGGCAAACTAAGCCACAGGCAAGAAAGTGCCCTTGCTTCAACTGCTGACAGTATGCTGTCCTAATTGGACAAGAAGGACACAAAAGAGTGACTGCCAAACCTTGTCAATACAAGGCAGGACAGTCCTTCAAAGATCCTGCTTCACAGAAAGGCCTTTCATATATTCTAGGCCTGTAGGCTGAAGACGGATGTCCAGTGTTGCAGGGGAACCTTGGGTGACTGTCCAGGCAGCCAGCTGTTTCTGTCATTTCACACATTTTTTTTTTTTTTTTTTGAAGTCACTTGCTTGCACTTCCTGCTTACTCAGCTAATATTATTTCCTTTTAGGTTCTCTGAGGGAGTTGACGACTCGATAGTTAGTTATAGTTTTCCTTGTTAACTGGATGCAGAAAGGAAACTCATTAAAGGCGTGTAAAGTGTACTAATTTGAGAAATATCAAGATAGTTTTGGATAGTAATGCAAATTAGAATAGAAAGTAAATTAGGTACAACCTTTTGGACTCACCAAGATAGGACAGGAAGGAAGTATTTTCTCTGAATTTGTCAAATGCAAATGCACTAAACATAGTTGCTTGATTTATTGCCTGTGTATGTTATACATTATTATTGAATATAGTTTTTCGTATATTCCTTATAACCTTTTCTTATTTTACACAAACAAAGGAAAATGTAGTGCTATTTTGTTTGTAACCTAACAAATAAAATTTGTGTGAAGATCAGAGTGCAGAGCTGAGCCACCAGTTAGCCTTACAGGACAGGCAGTAGTGGCCACACCTTTAATCCAGCACTCGTGAGACAGAAGCAGATGATCTGCGAGAGTTCAGGGCCACCCTGAACTACACGAAATTGATCCAGTCAAAAAACAGTATGTCTCTAAATATAATCCTGAGTGCTATGTTATTATAACTGAACTCAAGGAGCCTTGGCAAGATTGCAGGTGCATAATTCATAACTGTTTTGATTCCAGGGTGCTTATTACAGTGTTGAGCACTGGTCATGTATTACTACTACTTTATGATAACTGGGTACTGAGCATACTTTAAACCCTGGCACTTTCTCTCTGTGGAATACACAGAAAATTTTAGGATGTTACAATTCTTTTCCTGATTCCAGTTTGCTGACTTAGTAACAAATTTTAGAAGCAATTAATTTTTTTAAAAAATGTCTCAGACCATAGTTAAATACTCTCAGTAACTTTAATTATTTGTAACATTCAAGATTATCTTAAAAGTTATCTGTGTTTGCCTGAAAATCCATAGCTAGGTTTCCACCTAAGACCACAGGAATTTCTAGAGGAATAAAGATGTAGAACTCTGTGGAGTTTCTATTGCACAGCCAGGAGGCAGGAGGCACAGACACAACGTGGGCACACCTCTACACTTCTCTGCGTCTCAACAGTGGCTCCCAAAT